GATGGTGCGAGCCAGCCGCGGCGCGTCTGCACCGAATACCACGTTCAGCAGCTGCCCGGCCTGCGCATAAATACTTTTATTAATGTTTCTTTCATTAAGACTTAATAAAACACTATGGTAAACAATATACACGCCGTTTTCTTTAATAATTGGCTGGTGTATGTACATACATGCAATATGGACATAACTAAAGCATAAACTGATTGTCGAAGATTAGTTTGAAGCAACAAACATAACATATGAATGTATATGAGTACTTGTGAGCGTCGCGACATGGACGGTATCGACCTAACAGCGACCCAAAAGAGCGGCGGCGGCAGCGTAATAACATAAAAGCATATAAGCTACACACGCCCAGAAAACGCATATTTATATAAAACATTGTACATAATGTCTTTTATTAAGCAGATGATATATAATATGAAAAAAAAAACGTTACCGCAATAAAGAGCCAGGTGGGCTCGCTGCGGTGTCGGAACCTCTTGAGGCACTCGATAGTGTCCGATTTCGCCTGCAAATGTATATGAATAAAACATATTACTTATTCAGTCATGATTTACATTGGTTTGGATCCTTGAACCATTATATTCCGAGGTCTGTGAACAAGAGTTCTTATCACGTGTATGCCGATTGTTCATAACTGATTCAATGTGAACGCACCCTTATAATTTTAAAGTTTGAGATAATAGTCGTGTAGCGTGCAGTTCTAACTCCGATAATGATCGCTATCAGAGCCGCTGTAAAACTTCGTTAAGAACGCCTCAACTTGTTAACAAGAACGATTTGTTAGTTACTGAATTCTTTGTGCTCCAGTTTTGTTATTAATGTATTACTAATGGATATATTCAATATAAATATATAGCAGTTTATTGTATTACTTAATTTCCAATGTCATTTATAGAACAAGGAGATACAATAACTAGTACTAACAACAGCGAGGTGTAGGTTGTCTCCGCCAAGCTCGACTTTGATCTTCTTGAGGTTACCCACCATGCCTAGACAGGGCCCGCACCACTCCGCGTACACGTCGATCACTGTACAAACGTTTACATGAATCCACTTTATAGTAACAGAACAGTTTGCGTTATTCTTGGAGTCTGGACATGCGTACCGAGGAGTCCATCTCTCTGCAAGAACTTGTTCCAGTCGTCGTCGTTATTGAGGTCTGCTTGCAGCTGTACCTGCGCCGCCTTCTTGCCTGCACCGGCGG